ATTGGTGCCCCTAGCCGGCTCCCGGTGCGATTTTTCCCCGTCATCACGTTTGGAGAAGGCGCACTGTCGCTGAAAGATGGATGGTTGCGGCCTGGTTCCTCCTGCATGGCCTGGTCGACATCATATCCTAGAACGCGCGATGCCTTTGCCTTTGAGGCCCTTGTCTGCTTCACGGGGCTCGTCTTAGTCGGGTGTTCAGGGCTGTTTCCCACTTCCAACTCGGTCTTGATCTTCTGTTGCTGGTCTTTCAACTCTTGGATCCGGCGGGTCACCTGTTCTGCGTCATTGTTCGTTCCCGGCGTCCCATTGTCTGTATTGAGCTCTTTGCTAGCCGTGGAGGAGTATCGACTATGACGAGCAGACCGGTGTTTTTTTGAGGTGGATGACTGGCTATTCCGATGTCGCAGAGATGAGTCGCGAGTTGGGATGATTCTACCGCTTCCAATTCCGCCGGGAGTGCCAGCATCCGGGGTATCGTGGAACGATTGGTAATCTTTGATTGGTGGAGTTCTGGCGACTTTTGCTTCGTATGGCTCTTCCTTGACGTCCGCAGGACGCGCCTCCTCTCTAACCTCGGCCATGGAATGCAATGAGCGCAAGCTTGCTCGGCTGCGCGGGATGTTGTGTCGTAGACTGTCGTTATAGCTGGTAGTCTTTCGCAGACGATCGACGTGTGGATCCTTTTCGCAGAGTAATTCGCGTGATGACCTTTTCAATTGACTAAATTGACTCTTTAGGCTTTTCGCGCGCCCTGCAGAACTATTCGAAGCGATGCTCGGGGTTGACAAACGGGGGCCAGGCTCTGTGCTGATCGTTCCGAATGAGGAAGGCTCTGGGGCGCCTATCACAGATGTATAGGACTCTCTCGAAGCTGGGCGAGTGGATGATGGATCAGTCGTTCTGAAGGGTTTGAATCTCGGCGATCGGGGCGACTTTGGTGACGGGGGTGCCCTGGCCATGCGAATGACAGGCGAGGAGGCCGCATCGTCGGGGTGTAAAAATGGATTCTCCGGTAGCGCGGGTTGCTCTACCGCTGACTTGTAGTTACCGTAACTCATTCCAAACCCATGTTGCTCAGACGGAGGAAGGGAGTGAATTGGCGCGGTTCGCGGTACTTCTGGCAATGCTGGGTCTGATTCGTCGATCTTCGGGACGGTGTCGAAATGCGAGTTTAAAGGAACGGAGATGGTGGAAAGGGACGAAATGAGAGAAGAAATGACTTCAGGCGAGGTTAGATCAGTTCCATTGCGCGAAGGCAGCGATTTACGACGGCGACGACGACTAAGCAGGGCCGACTCTGCTTGCACGGGGTTCTCGTTCGACATTGTTCAATAGTCTAAGGGTGCAACCCCTAAGACAGACAAACTTCAAGGATCGGATGCAGGGTAAAATGGGTACACGCATGATCTACTGCATGCGAAAAGATGTTTGATAAGGGTTTCTGGTCCTTGTAACCTTGTCAACCCCCCTTACAGTGAGATATTGATGATAGCCAAAAAAAATTAGGGATTGGGAGTGAGCGTAAGAAGATTAAAGAAAGGATCCCGATTATACCGAGTATGAAAAGAGAGAGCGAAAAAGGTATTATAGACTCGAGTTAAGGGAAGGAAAAGGGAGTTGTCTTATTTTCTTGGAGATTAGCGTTGACGCCTTTTTCTCCACTGAGGATCTTAATTTGCCGATAGAAGATATATAAGTAGGGGAGTAGGGAGTAGGGAGTAGAATATCAATAACTACCTCAGACACTGTGTATTTATGGATATATTAGATTCCTCACATCTATGGAGGTCTAAGTATTCGAGGTTCCACGTGGATTCCAAATGGCTCCTTTTGTAGGACCCCCTTAATAGGCTTAATAGGCTATACGAGGATACTGGTCAACTCATGTTAGAATAATACTGCAGAGTTTGTATGTACTAAATAAGTAACTAAATACCCAGCTCCCAATTAGAAATGCGTGCTCCAAGTACTATAAATTCGAATCCAACATTGAACGCGAAGAAGAATAGTAAACAAATATATATCGCGGATCTATATATTCGGACAGATAATTGCCAACCATGATTATTCTGAAGCCCCATGTGACTGTTACGGAAAACAAGGACAGCAGAAAAAATATCACTGAATCTCTCTGTTGATGAATTCAGAACTAAGAATTTAGCTAAAGATAGTGGCCGGTCCATCACCTGGCCTAACATGTAACTGCGACCGTGATAACCGATTATGCAATTTAGTATGCCCATGGTTTATTCCCAGTGTCAGCAAATGTCACCCGTAGGCGTCCTTGCTTCTCCGGAGGACGTTGCTTCTCTGCACTTCTGCGAATCGGACGTTTCGTTGGCATTTGAGGGTAGTGCAAGAAGGTCTTCGATGTTGGTGCTTCCACTCGGGGCAAGCCCACCACAGACTTCAAAATTCCCCTTGTCGATTACCTCCGCCTGGCCACTCATATGTAGAAAGTTTCCAATGCAGGCGTGAATTTCGAGAAGTTTAGGATCTGGAAGTACCCAACTTCTTTTGTGAACTCCGAACTTCCGAGTTCTAGGTAAAAACTGTATTGGCCCTGTAGCGGTATCTGGAAAAGTCTTGATTTGATATTGGTGAGCAATTCCGGTTGCTTCAAAAATGAGTCTGAATTGACTGAATTCCCCATAAATTTGGGAATCTAGCATCAGAACGTTCTTCTCCGAATTGATCTGTTCTGAGGTAAAGGACATATTGCGAAGAGCTGGAAAGTAGCGCCTTAGATTAACCCAAATCTTTATATATATATCCACTGCCGTGCCATGAAAGGATCCAAGTACAAATGGAATGATATGGGCCGCTTCAAGATGGGCCATTAGAGCGTTCCGTGGATGGGCGCAGCCAGCACTGTATGCCCGTTGCAAGACCAAGGTGATGATGAATGAGTGCGATTGGTCGAAGGAAAGTTGGGAGATCACCAGGCGGTCGGGGGTGGCAAAATGACGGTTCAATAAGGGCCGTTTCTGGCGGCCCGCTCACCGTGTCAACTAATACTCCATATGGCACAAGTAATTTAAAAAAGTCTAATAACTGGCTAGATATTAGCCTGTAACATTCTAATGTTCTAGTGTTTCTAGGCCCTAAATCAGTTTAGTATAGCCTAGGTAGAAAGTGGTCCTCCGACCGCTAGTCTAGCTGTAACACTTATTAAAAAGAGATTTCCTCTTTTCTCATTTGAACTTCTCTTTCTTGTTTATTTGGTTTATTTGATTTGGTCTATTCAAGTTCGATTTTGTTTTTCCAGGAGTTTCTACTTTCACTTCTCTCCAGGGCTGTCTTGCTTGACCCACGTGAAGTGTTGTGTTGAAAGCGATAAGCTTAGAGAGAAAAAAAAAAGCAAACAGTGTCTCCCCCTCCTCAACTTCTCTCTCCCACATCCAGCTCTGAACACGACGGTTGCTTCAGATCCCCCCATTCCTTCGATTTCCTTACCGCGTACCCAACCCTCTCGGCGGTCCGATGTGGCTCCTTCGAGTCTTTTCGTCGGCCTTGTTCCTCGCCATCACCGTCTCCTCCATCCCACTAGCCTTCGATGTGGGCGGCAAGACATGTGGCCTAGCCTTCTCACTGTCCTTAGCAGCATTTTACTTCCTGGTCTCGTTGTTGAAGGTCACCACCCCTGACCGATCGTGGTTCCGTTCCTCCATCATTGCCGTTCTCCGCTTTATACAATGGGCCGTCATCCTGGTCCTTCTGATTTGGTCGCTGAATCGATTCTCGGTTGATGCCGACAGTACAGGCACAGGATGGGCGGAGCGCACTTTCAGCAGCAAAAGGGCGCAGGATTCCTCTCTTCAGGAATGGCTCTTTGGTCGCGACGGCCTGGTGGAAACGGTGACCCTCGGCAACTGGGATCGACTTCTGAGATGGTCTACCCCGGTCTTCCAACTGGCAGAGGGATTCTGCAGTTTATTGGTGATTCAGGCCGCTGGACAAATCACCCGCTGGCTCGTCAACCGAGGTGGACGCAGCGATAGCTGGATGGTATGCTTTGATCTCCCCGTGTGTCACGATTAAAAACCAACTCTTGTCTTAGATCGGCCTCTTGGTCTTGTCCGCTACGATTATCTCCAGCTCGATTTACTTCCTCTGGCGTGTTCTGCAATTTCCCGAAATATCCAACGTCGATGCGGCCTTGATTGGAGTTTCCGTCACATGCGCCGTCATTCTGTGTGCCTGGGGTATTGGAAGTGGTCGCGGTAACCCAGTCGAAAGCTCCCTCCTCTTCGCCTATATCGTGCTCTGCATCTACCAGATCTTCACCGACTACCAGCCATCGCACCCCGTGGAACAAATATCCTCCTCCTCGCAGGTCGGAGACTTCCCTCCACTGCCTCCCATCATCATGGCGTCGTACACAACCTTGATGCACGCGCTGTCTCTTCTGCCGTCGATTATTCACGCAGGCTTCAACGTCATTACCACCGTCTTCAGTGCTGTCACGCCCTCCGTCCTCATCTCACTCGCCTACCGCCTGCTCGTACTGTATGCATCGACGCGCATCATCCCAGCTGTCCGCGAGTCGGGGGCCCGTGCCCTTTCCCAGGAGGCTTCCATTGACGATACCGACGCAGCAGGCCAAGTGCTGGGCTTCCTGAGCTACTTCGCCCCGACCATTCTCATCGCTGTCTACACCAGTCTCCTCATGCAACACTTTGCAGCAACCTCACAAGCAATGGGTGGCAGCGGTGAATGGTGGAGCACCCAAGGCAACGGCGGTGGTAACCCATGGCGGTGGATTAATCTTGCTTGCACAATATCTCTATACGCGGTCGAGCTGTGGCTAGGGGAAACCAACGATCTCGACAACGGAGTGGCAGGCCACTGGAAAACCGACTGAATGACTACTTGCCAGAGTCAACGACTGCTAAGTCAACCTGCCTACGCTTTCCTTCTTATCATTGCCCCAGCAAAAGCGCGGCAGGAAATCCGAAGGCCAATCGAATCGGCCTTCTTGCTTCCTTGGCTGTGGTATATTACTGCATGAGCCTGGTCGGCCGCAAGCCTACCAAGCTGACCTCTCCCGCAGCAACCTTCACAACGAAAACGCCACTCAGCAGCGATTCAACTGGAAATTCGCCCTCACCTTTGCTACAGCTACCGTAGAGCGAGTTCTTCGGAATGGTTTCGATCGCCTGATGCCAATTACCACCGGTCTCGGTTCTTCGTTTCACGTCACTCCGCCCGCTCTTCCTTGCTTCCTCGCTAAGCATTCTCAACTGCCAAATGAGTGTATTTGGTTGTCTCGTGTTTCGAGGCAAACATCACTCTGTTCAACATGCCACAACACTTTTCACGACTCGACGATACCAGATAAACCTCTTGCTTTTTCTTCTTTCTTCTGTGTCTTCCACACCCACTTTGAATTCCCATTGTTTATCCGTTCGGCACTTATACCCTCTGCTGCCTACGCTCAACCATCCCATTCACAGCTTCCTGGTTTCTCTTTCGCTCCCCTCAGCCGAATCTTGCTCCATCCACACACGCACGCCCATTCCAATGGTTTGACTCGAGGCCTTACTTGTACATAGGATACCTGGTTCTTTCTTCTATTGTATTTCTTGCCAGGCGCTTGGTGGGGTTAATAGATATTCCGTCTTCTTTCTAGATCTAATTCGAGGGTTATAAAGCGGACATTTGTACGGAGTAGTCTTGGCTGCCACGTCGGGAGCCGATAGTCACATGCTAGCTTTCAGCCCTACTCTCAAGCCCTACAACCCGATATAGAACAGCAGATAAGAAACTTAGCCAGCCAGAGCGCAGCAATTAATACGGAAAACACGTGAAAACACGTGAAAACCCACTTTGGAGAGGAAACCCCAGGGAACTAGGCCGAATTAGGAAGCCTTGGCACTCTTAACTATGGTATTATCTAAGCAAATCAATCTGAGAGCGCAAATTACAGAGGTTTACAGGTACAAATTAATGAGCTGTGACTGTTTTCCCTTTCAGTTTGAATGCTCAGATTCAATAACTACTTCAAAATGGCCGAAAACGTAGCAAAGAAGCTCAAGATCTCGTCCCCCTTGATTGGGACACACAAGTGAGTGCACCTGTAATTGCTGCTCATCTTGCTCAACCTGCTCACTGATGAAAACAGCGGTCACTTCCACGCCGACGAGGCCCTCGCCGTCTACCTCCTCCGCCTGCTCCCCACATACGCCTCCTCCCCTCTCATCCGCACACGTGACCCAGCTGAGCTAGAGAAATGCCACACCGTCGTCGACGTGGGCGGCGTGTACGACCCCGCCATCCACCGGTATGACCACCACCAGCGGACCTTCTCAACAACCTTCCCGCAGCACGCCACTAAGCTCTCCTCCGCCGGCCTGGTGTACATGCACTTCGGCAAGGCGATCCTCGCCCAGAAACTGTCCCTTCCCGTGGAGCACGCCGACGTAGACCTTCTATACAAGAAGCTGTACACGGACTTCATCGAAGCGATTGACGCCAACGACAACGGCATCTCCGCCTACGACCAGGCCGCACTTTCCGCCGCCGGGGTCGAGAAGCGCTTCAAGAACGGCGGCATCACGCTCGCCTCAATGGTTGGCGACATGAACAACCCAGACCCCACCAGCCCGCCCGGCGAGCCCCAGGACGAGGACAGCCTCTTCGGCCGCGCCAGCACGCTCATCGGCAACGCGTTCGCGCGCAAGATGCACCATGCCTGCACGTCCTGGATGCCTGCCCGCACCACTGTCGGCGCCGCTTACGCCGCGCGCAAGGACACCCACCCCTCCGGCCGCATCATCGTCCTCCCGCAGGGCGGCGTGCCCTGGAAGGAGCACCTGTACAACTTCGAGGCCGAGGCTTCGGGAACCAAGGATATTGACCCCGCCGTCCAGACATGCTATGTGCTGTACCCCGAGAACGCTACCGAGGGAGCCAAGTGGCGCGTGCAGTGCGTTTCCGTCTCCGAGAGCAGCTTTGAGTCTCGTAAGCCTCTGCCTGAGGCGTGGCGCGGTGTCCGCGACCAGGACCTTGATGGTGTTATGGCTGCGGAGGCTGAGAAGAATGGCCAGAGCAAGATCCCCGATGGTGCCGTTTTTGTTCACGCTAGTGGGTTCATCGGTGGTCACAAGACGAGAGAGGGTGCTATGGCTATGGCTGAGCGCAGCCTTGAGCTATAGGGCTTTAGTCTAAAAGAAAAAGCGCATATTTGATGAACCGTTCTATATTATGACATCTCAAGGAAATCTATGATTTATTTTTGACACGACCTTTTTTCTTCGCAACGCTGGGTCTTTAGACGATTGTAAATAATCAATTTGGTCTTGCATGAACCACTGGACACCACAAGTGTCTGTCGGCTGGAGTGCCAGGAGGACTTTTTTAATTTGGTGTCAGAGATATATTAGACGAGTCTTGATATATCTGGCGCGTCATATTCTGACTGCCAATTAAACCCGGTTGTTGTTTCTCCGTGGCAAACGAGCGAGAAGCCTTGGTATTCGGAGGGTGTAGAACCAAGCCTAAGAGAATGAGCCTCGAGCCTTCCTCGGCCTTTCTGTATAGCGCTCCAGGCATTGGAGCACTTTCCCACATGTTGATCGAAGCGAGTGTTTTGTTCCTAAAGAAGGACTGGCCTTTCGTGCTCTAATCTGAGACCATCGGTATAGTCCAGGAGTCGAACGTCTGGTAGGCCTACCAATTTGGTGAAGCATGACCAGCCCTCAGTGACGGATGCTCAATGCACTGATATCTTCAATGCTTCCAGTGCCATCTCCGGTAGTCGACATGTCCTTTGGTTCAGCCTGGGTGGCCAGGTCCTCGCGCTCGCCCATTGCGCGTTGGATGAGCTTCGCCTTCGTAGCGGCGCCTTTGAGACGCTCATCCACGTCATTGACAGCTTCCTCAGTATTACTCATATCCAGGGTAGCTGGATCGACGAGTTCAAGAAGCGTCTGGAGATTCCTGGCTAGTCGAGAGCTGTGTGGTGGGAGACTGGGCATGTCTTTGCAGACAGATGGATCAAGGGAAAGAGTATCCGTTGTGCTATCTGCCTGCGATGCGGCACCTTCGGACGATTTCATGTCGAGTCTCTGTGCCCAGACTAATGCCTTGCCATACAAGCGGCCCATCTCGACAAACTTCTCGAAGCCTTTCTCAACGGCGAAAACGCTGCCTTCGGTATATCCGGTAGCTGCCCCATCCGCGGTGCCCAGCTCATACCCCTCATTGTAGAATTGCTCCTCCAAATCAAGGAGACTGTCTAGGAGATTGGGCTCCATGGTGGGGATAGTGGAGGTAGATATGAGTCAGTTGAAGATGTCAGATCGATCACGTTTTTTTTTTGATATGCGCGGGGCATGTGACCACTTTCTTATTTTCCCGCCTTGCCCCTCCAACAAAGACGTTCTCCTCTTCAACACCGCAAGATGACGGATCCGATATTGCCCATAGCCGGCGAGCGGAATATCCTCGTAACGAGCGCTTTGCCATACGTGAACAATGTTCCCCATCTGGGTAACGTCGTGGGCTCTGTGCTGAGTGCCGATGTATTTGCTAGGTATGACTCAACCCCACACAGAATATAGAATTGCGCCATGAAACTGACTGCCACTCAACAGATACCACAAGGCCTGTGGCCGCCGCACATTGTACATCTGCGGTACAGATGAATACGGAACCGCAACCGAGACCAAGGCGCTGGAGGAAAAGGTGTCGCCGGAGGAGCTGTGCGCCAAATACAACAAGATCCACCAAGATGTGTACAAATGGTTCAACATCGGCTTCGACCACTTCGGTCGCACGCCCACGGAGAAGCACACCGAGATCGCGCAGTCAATCTTCATGCGCCTGCACGAGAACGGCTTCCTCGCTGAACGCACCGCCGAACAGCCCTTCTGCGAGCAGCACAACTCGTTCCTGGCTGATCGTTTCGTGGAGGGTGAATGCCCCCGCTGCCACTACGACGATGCCCGCGGAGATCAGTGCGACAAGTGCGGCCATCTCCTCGACCCCTTTGATCTCATCAACCCCCGCTGCAAGATCGACGGTGCTGCCCCCGTCCGCCGCGAGACGAAACACATCCACCTCCTGCTCGACAAGCTCCAACCGGAGATCGAGAAATGGGCCCACCCTGCTATTGAGAAGGGTAAATGGCCTAGGAATTCGCGCGTTATTACCGAGTCCTGGTTGAAGGAGGGCTTGAAGGGCCGTGGTATCACCCGAGACTTGAAGTGGGGTGTTCCCGTCCCGCTGGAGGGATATGAGAACAAGGTTCTCTACGTGTGGTTTGAGGCTTGCATCGGCTACCTTTCCATCACAGCCAACTACACAGATGAGTGGGAGCAGTGGTGGCGCAACCCGGAGGAGGTGCAGCTGTGGCAGTTCCTGGGCAAGGACAACGTTCCTTTCCACAGCGTGATCTTCCCCGGTACACAGATCGGCACGAGGGATAAGTGGACTATGCTGCACCACCTCAGCACAACGGAGTACCTCAACTACGAAGGCGGCAAGTTCAGCAAGTCGCGCGGCATTGGTGTGTTCGGCACAAACGCCCGTGAAACCGGCGTCCCGGCCGACGTGTGGCGTTACTACCTGCTGAAGAACCGCCCGGAGACTGGCGACACTCAATTCGAGTGGGGACCTTTCGTGGACAGCAACAACGGCGAGCTTCTCGCCAAGCTAGGCAACCTCGTCAACCGCGTCATCAAGCTTGTCACCGCCTCTTACGGCTCCGTCATTCCAGAATTCACCGTGCCAGAGTCCTTCGATCCATTCCTAAAGGAAGTCACCGAACACCTGCTCCAGTACCATGAAGAACTGGAAGGTGCGCACCTGCGTGCCGGTGTGCAGACCGCCATGCGCATCGCCGAGGCGGGTAACGGACTGATCCAAGCCAACCGACTAGACAACGCGCTGATTGCGAACGAGCCTGAGCGCGCCGCCGCCGTCGTCGGCACTGTGCTCAACCTGATTCTTCTGCTGTCCAGCGTGTTCTCGCCATACATGCCAGCAACCTCGAAGTCAATTCTGGAGCAGCTGAATACACCCTTCCAGTACATCCCCAGTGTGGAAGAGCTCAAGTCCACCGGCTGGAAACCTACTTCGCTGAAGGCGGGCCACAAAATCGGCAAGGCGGCTTACCTGTTCACCCGTATTGATCCCAAGAAGGCGGATGAGTGGCGTGAGATGTTCGGTGGGTCGCAGAGCGACCGGAAGAAGAAGGAGGACGAGGCTGCCAAGCAGGCCGCAAAGAAGGCTG